TATAGGGTCTCAGGACTTGGGATTAGAAGGGAGAGAGAGCAGAGGAAGGATGAAATCCTACCCACCTGTAATTTCTCAAATGAGGTAGATGTATAATTAGCACACAATATAGGAAAAAAGGACTGGGGAGCAAGAAACATTACGCATGCACACAATGGAAGGAGAGGGCAAGGAGAGAAGAAGGGAAGAACATGAGAGGAGGGGAGAGGAGCCAATTCACTTTTTTTCCTTCCATTTCTCTCCATTTTCCCAATATGAACGGTGAGGATTGGGAAAATGGAGGGATCAAAGTGAAGAGACTCTTCTCCCCAAAAAGAGAAGGCAAGCATAACCTGTTATGTTATGATTGCTTGTCATACCAATGTTTTTTCTTTTTTAAAAAATTAAAAGTATAGAACTTGGTATGATTGAAGCTGAGTTTTATATTTCATATTAAAAAAATTGGAATTCAAGTTGTTTGTATTAAACCAAAATTTTAATGTATAATATATGAAAAAATATTTTTGAAAGTATAGTATATAGGTAGCTAATTTTTTTATAGTATTGCAGTGAAATTGCCGATTAGCACAGGGAAAAATTATTCCCACCAAAAGAAGACTGCAAGGATTTTACAAAGCTAAATAAGCTATTTATAGATTCAAGTAAAGGATTGCAGTTACTTTCTTCTGAAAATTAAATACACTTCTCATCCGCCAAAAACGAACAAAAATGAAAACAATAGGAACAGGTAAAGGTAAATATAAAAAGATTCAATTAAAGCAATACTATTGGTGACTTTTATATACTTTTGTATATAAAAACGAACAAAAATGAAAACAATAGGAACAGGTAAAGGTAAATATAAAAAGATTCAATTAAAGCAATGCTATTGGTGACTTTTGTATATATCACGAGAGAGCAAAGGTTTCCCAAACTAACTGCAATTTTAGGAGGCATGCAGATTAAATCCTCATGGCAGATGGGATACATTTCCACAGGTAACGTGTATTTACGCATATGCTCTTACTGCACATGTTAAAATCAATTATAAATTCAAAATTATGTTTTCAAAAAAATTTCCAAATACTCATTTTTACATGCCAAAATTAATTATAAATTCAAAACTATGATTTTCTTAAAAATATTCAAACACTCTCATGCATGCCAAAATCAATTATGAACTCAAAACTATGATTATCTCATAGGTTACTATTACTTGCTTTTCAATCCAATTTTTCAATTTTAAATTTCTAAAAATTTATTTAAAAATCATATAAATTATTTTAAAAATTATATTTTTTGGTTCATAATTGATTTTGACATAATAAGATGTGTTTTGATATATTTAAGAAAACCATAATTTTAAGTTTATAATTGATTTTAGCATGTATAATGGGTGTTTGTATATTTTTAAGAAAGCATGATTTTAAATTTATAATTAATTTTAATATTTAATATGGATGTTGGATATATTTCACAAAACTATGGTTTTAACCTTTAAAATTGATTTTGAATGTTATCCAATAGGTACAAGATTATTCAAAATTGCCTCATTCAAAACCTCTTTATTGTGACCCTGACATTTATCCTCTTGGAGCGGACTTAGTACATATAAATTCAGCATGTTTCAACCTTACTTTATTTGTATTGAAGTTTTGTTTCAATTTATTCAATGGTAATAGATAAGGTATAAGTGAACCAAAAACTAATTTCTATATTTAATTATGAATGTGTTTTTTTTTCATATTTATGTTGGTTTCTCTTAAATATGTGATCAACAATAAAATTTTGTACTCTCTATTAAATATTTAAAGGAATTAAAGATGGAGATTCCTTGCACCCAAAAAAAAAAAATTCCATTTTACCATTTGTTTAAATGCATTCATAAAAGAATATCTTCCTTCAACATAATAAATGTCTGGAGTTTTACATTCAACTCAAAAAAAGAAGATTAATAGTTACACAAAAATTTTCTTTCAATTACAACTTTTTTTTATCACAAAATATGTTTGCGAAAAAAAAATCTGTTATTAAAGTGATCAAGATGCCTAAACAGCTTGAATAAAGATAGTTATTTTTAGTTGACATATTTTGACTTACATAAATAATTGTGACTTTTATCTTAATTTCAAAATTTATAACTTAAAAAAAATACTAAACACTCGATTAGGTATTAGTAAGAAGACCAAAGAAATCCATTTAATAAGTATATCGAGATATGAGAATTTGAAAGTTAAAATTCATGTTGGAATTTACAAAGTTGTCATCATGTTTCTTCTCTTTGAAAATTATAATGGGATAATATTGGGTTGTGAATTGAGCCTCTATCCATTGGGCTCACTTGTATGGTCCACCTATCACGGTCCACATAAGATCATAAAGACCAATCTATTTGAATTTATTAATTAATGTTAATTCATAAATAAATAGTCCAACAAATTAGTCATTTAAATTTCAAAAGCCAAATTGATAACTTTAACAAATTTAAGCAACTAAAAGTTTTATTATTTTAAAATTATAATATAAAAAAGCTAAATTACGCCAATTTCTTTCAAACTTTAAAATATGTGTAATTAATAGGCTAAATGACTACCTACACAAATTTTAAAGTTCAATGAAGAGAATGGTTATTTTTACATAAGGCTTAAAACTAAGAGAAATTATATATATTACACACACATAAATTGTTTTTGTTTTTCTAAGGATCAGAAGCACAGGCCGCAGTATTTTTCGAGGCATTTAGCAACCCAGAAATCTTAAAAGAGGGGAAAAAGGAGAGTTGCAAGAACACCACACAAATATTTTAACAAAAAAAAAAAAAAACAACAACACATAAATGTACAATTGACAAATTGATTAGCAACAAAAGTTGTAAATAAAAAAATTTAAAATAAAATAGAATATTCTCAAATTTTAAACAACAACAACAACAACAACAAGCCTTTATCCCACTAGGTGGGGTCGGCTACATGGATTGCAAGACGCCATTGTGCTCTATCATTTATCAAGCTTTTAGGAATGTTATTAATTAATAGATCGCATTCAACAACTTCCAAGAGTGTTCTCTTAGGCCTTTCTCTACCTCTCTTAATCGGACTCAAAATTATATGTTTCACTCTTCTCACTGATGCCTCCCTTGGTCTTCTTTGTACATGCCCAAACCATCTCAATCGATTTTCTACTATTTTTTCCTCAATAGGTGCCACCCTCACTTTTTCGCGTACGTGCTCATTTCGAATTTTATCTTTACGTGTATGTCCGCACATCAATCGTAACATTCTCATCTCTGCTACTCCAACTTTATGCTCATGCTATCCCGTTAGAGCCTAGCATTCACTACTATATAACATTGCCGGTCTGCTAGCAGTGCGATAAAACTTTCCTTTAAGTTTATTAGGCACCTTACGGTCTCAAATAACTCCTTTAGCTTTTCTCCAATTAAACCACCCAACTTGAATTCTATGTAAAATATCTCCACTGATTTCGCCATCATTTGAATAATGGCTCCCAAATATCTAAACTTTTTCACTTGAGGTATAATTTGATCTCCCAATTTCACTTCCAAATTATTGTCGAATAGTCCTTTACCAAATTTAAAATATAAATATTCCGTCTTACTTCTACTCAAACGAAAACCTTTCAACTCCAATGTCCTCCTCCATAACTCAAGTTTACAATTAATCTCTTCTCTTGTTTTTTGCTATAAGAACTATATCATCCGCGAAGAGCATATATTTCAAAATTTCCCCTTGAATATGTTCTGTCAAAACATTTAAGATCAAGTTGAATAAATAAGGACTCAGAGATGATCCCTGATGTAGTCCAATCTTTATAGGAAAATCCTTTGTTTGACCACTAGGCATTCTTATACTAGTTTTTATCCCCTCATATATATCTTATATGGCTTTAATATAAGTAATCTGTACTTCTTTTTTTTCCAACACTTTCCAAAGCACTTCTCTTGGTATACGGTCATAAGCTTTTTCCAAATCAATAAAAACCATGTGTAGATCTTTATCTTTACAACGATACTTTTCCAATTAATCCCCTTAGTAAATAAATCGCCTCTATAGTTGATCTACCTGGCATAAAACAAACTGATTCTCAGAAATACTTGTCTCCAATCTCAACCTGTGCTCAATTACTTTCTCCCACAATTTCATTGTGTGGCTCATGAGTTTAATCCTTTATAGTTAGTATAATTCTGAATATCTCCTTTATTTTTATAAATAGGAATTAATATACTTCTCCTCCACTCATCAGGCATTTTCTTGGACCACAAAATCACATTAAATAACTTAGTTAACCATCTCACTCCTTTTTCACCTAAACATTTCCACGCTTCGATAGATATACAATCAAATCGTTGGCTCTACCATTTGCCATTTTCTTAAGAGCTTCCTTTACCTCCTTATCACGTATTATTTGATAGAATGACAAATTTGAAAATATAATTCAAAGTTTAAAATGATATATGAAATATGATATTTAATTAGGTTCATTCCATTATGTGTTGAGAAATAAGTCAATATCTATCAGTAAATCAATAATATCATATGTTATATATTTAATTAATGGCGAGATCAAGACTAACAAAATACCCCAAAATTAAGAAGATAGACTGTTCATTTAACATAGCTTAAGTTGAATGAACATTTACGTCTATTGTAGATTAACAATTCATCCAAAAAAAAAAGAGGGAGAATCACGTTTAAAACCTTCATTATGTTAAAATAACAGTAGAGACTTGTTTTTTTTAAATGATGATTTATTGATCTTATCTGTAAATAATTCCTGTAAATAATTCTCTTAATAGATTGTAATTCTTTCAAAAAATGATGAGACCAAAAAACCATTCAAAACAAATCATGGCATTGGGCCCCTCCAAAAAATAAAAGTCATGCGCACTAGGGCAAAATATGAATTATAGTTTTTTAAGTGTTAATGAGCAAATAAGATCCTGAATTATTGTTCAAAAATCACCTTAAAACTTGAACTCTTAAAATATACAAAATAGGTCCTAAATTTTTAAATTTATAGCAAAATAAACCTTGATCATTAACTTTTTAACACGATTACTGTCCACACAGGTACTGTAGGGTTTTTCCTACGAATTTAATCCTGACTGTTACAATGCCCACTACTAATTTAAAAAATAAAAAAATTAGGAAGAGCTGTGGCACCTACCGGTTCACCCTTCTCTCTCCACCCCTAAGGGAGAGCCGGCAGCTCCGCTACTGATTGCAGGGACATGAGTTTCAAAATTATCTTCACTAACGTGAATGTTCAATCGAGACATCATTTGCTTAATGAACTCCTGGTTTTGAGCTAGCTGGGCTCTCAGTGCTTCCTCCCGTGCTTCATTCTCAGCTCTCAATTGTTCTTCTTTGGCCTCAAATTTAGCTACAACATTGACAAATAATGTTAAAGCAATATTATGTTTATGGATTCAGAAGATTTAATATATGTGTGTGTGTATATAAGTTCAACAGATGTAATTTAACTTCTTAGGATGATAAAATAATTTAGGTCACGTCTGGTTATTAAAAAGAATATATATATATATATATATATAAGTTCAACAGATGTCATTTAACTTCTTAGGACGATAAAATAATTTAGGTCACGTTTGGCTATTAAAATGGATTGAAAAAAAAGGTAAAAATGAGATTATCAAAAGAAATAGTAAACCATATTCATAAAAGAAGAGAATAATTTAGTTCATGAAATTATAAATTATGATTCATAAAATTTTTAACAGGTGTAATAATTCTTATATTTATAGTATATATTAATGAATTTTATCATGCTTATCATGAAGAGGAGGGATAATTTAATTTATTTTTGTATTATTTTTTTCAATCTATTCTATTCCATTCCTTTCTAATAACCAAATGTGACCTTAATTTTGGCATTGTAAGTGGCTAACAAGGTTTCTGAGAATGCAACAGAAGATTAAAAAAAGATAATAGTTATAGTGTCTCTCACTTTAAGCTTAAATAATGGCGGCATTTCCATCCTCTCTTTTTCCCTCCCTAGTAAGCTATACAAATCAAAGAATGATTTTAAAAAAGCATTAATTTTTTTATTTTACTCGATTTTAACTAACTTTTCTTAATGTAAAAAAGCATGAGTAGTAAAATGTTTGAGCTAATTACCAGCAACTGCTTCAACTATGTGAGGAAGTTGTGATAACGGAGGCTCACTTTGTGTTGTCATCTTTTCAGCAGCTCTCGTTGGTTCATGAGAAGTAGAAGAAGGACCAACACCATTCTCGTTCTTCTCATCCTCATATTCTGAAATCCTCAAAGGCTGTTGTTGGTTCTGATGAAGAGGAAAAGGTATTGCACAAAGCATCCTCTACTTAATTCATATCAATTTAATACTTATCAGGAGTAAAAGAAAAACATTCTTTGACGACCTCATTCCATTTACACTCTTGATTTGAAAATTTTGCATCTTAAATAAGAATAAATTCATTTTTTAATTTACATACATATATGTATATAGGGACAATGAAATTTTCCATCCCTCAAGTTTGTATCCGTTATTGATTTATTTTTTTTTTAAATTTAGTTTTTATTAATTTATCCTTACTTTTTTTAAAAAAATAAATATCAAGTTAATCCTTTAAGTTTTAAAATATAAATTAACTCACAAATTAATATAATTTATAAAGCATACTAATGACTTGGAGTACACACTACACTAATTTAGAATAAATTTTTTTCAAAATCAGTTTATTTTTATTACTCTAATCATTTACGTTGTATTTTTTAAAATTTTTAAAAATTTTTGAACATGTTTTTCTTACCTAAATAATTACACTTTTTTTTATTAATTTAGATAACTATCATCAATATTACTTTATCCATTCAGCAAATTTTAACAATATTACATCTTTAAACAATAATTGAAGCAAAGTTAAAAAGTTAAATTAATAATTGAAGCAAATTTGACGAATTAAAATTTTACTTATACCAATATATAATGCAATTCAATCCAAATGCTTAATAATACATGAAATAAGCCCAATAAAATCAATCATGATATGGAATCAGTACTCTATCCACAGGCATCTAAATTATTTTGCTTATGATTTATTTTTCATGGAAGCTCTCAATCAAAAGGTGGTTTAATTTAATTAGCAGATGCACTGACACAGTAATAATATTCATTCATCAGCCGCGGAACCACATGTATGACCCCCTCACTTAAAAATAACATATTATGGGTATAAAATTTTAGATTTTACACCCCCTCTTTTTAATATTTTACATATTAAATCAATTTGATTCTTTCTTTAAATTCAATGTTGAAATTTTCAACTTTTCATCTCAAAATTCAGTAATATAATATATATATATATAATATTAATTTTTAATTATTAAATTAATTTTGACATTTTTTTTTTGACAAAAATTACCTCCTAACCCAGGACTACTTTCGCCACCGGTAATATTAAAGGGGCCTCGTAAGAAAATGATTAAGTCGCCATACACATCATATATAGGGCGCATTAAACTATTTTTGGATCTTCTGGAATTTTCTGACCTTTCTTTTGGCTGGTCCCACTGACCGTATGGCTGTCCAAATACACTTCTTCATTGGACTCATCACTGTATGGACTGTATCTATAGCCGCCGCACTCAGAGTGAACATTTGCTCCTCCGCGTTCAATGATACTGAATCAACTCCTGCAATTTTTAATTTCACAACACCCCGCAGACGATTAATCTTTGAAAGCTTAAAAAAAATCCAATTTTTTTTTTTTTTGGGGTTGAGTCAAATTTCAGCACCAGCAGTTTCGTCACTTTCAGAATCATAATGTTGACTCTTATATTCTATCTGAGTGCAACACTGATTTCTTTTACACTCTTTTGTGAAATAATATTTTGAAGTAGATTTATATATTCTTTTATGAGATTCAAATATGAAGAAGAGAGAATACGTCAAAGAAAAATGTCATGTCCTTAATAAGAGGATCCATAGTCCTCTTAAAAATAAAAACAAGATCAAGTACCGAATTGTCGAAGAAACTTATAATAAAGCATGTAAAATTCACAAAAAACAAGATGATGCAACAAGAAGATATTTCAAAACTCCAATGCAAGAGAAAAATGATATTTCAAACATGTGGCGGGAGGGTGTAATGAATTGCAACAAAATCTTGCAAAGATGAAAAGGAAAACAAATTGTCCAACCATGTCAATTGAATTCACCCTGTGGCAATAGTTTTTATCTGTTGTCATAGGCCAAAAACATTACAGTGAATTAAACCAATATCTAACTACCCAAATCAACAAAATTAAATGTAAGCATACCCAAGCAATTTTCAAGCTCAATCCTATGATTTTAATTCTAACCCAATCCTGTGGTATTATCGTTTAGGATCACAAGACTACCTATTAACTAGCATTATCAAACAATTATACTACATTATCAGTTTCCTTAGCAAGAATTGATTTAAAACCACAACAAAACAGAATCTAAATCGTTGTCCTTTCTCCTACGAGAAAAGAAATTAAGGAAGAGATACTGTTTAGAATGAGCTCTTCAACCTTAAAAGTTTAGTTATTTTTTCCCTCTCCAACTCTTCTCTTACAATCTCGTACAGCAGCTACAATAGAGGAAGAATAAAGCTTTAACTCCTTAATATTTTTGAAAAAAAAAAAATTTCCACAGCTTCCACGTTAAAGTTAGACATCCAAAATTTGAACAAACTTAAATTGCTGAAATTATTGGTTTAATAAAATGGGACCTCACGACAATCAATAGTTTCAAGAATAACGAATTTCATAAGAAGGACCTCAAACAACTAGTGAATTCCAACAAGCTGAAAAAATAGAGCCTAACGAGCGAAATTTCAACAACAAAACAATTTGAATAGATGAACAAAATCCTTCCTCACACCCTAAGCAAGCTTAATGATAGCAATCAATAAAGCAACCAAAATAGTATAAGAAATTTCAAATTTTTAATAATAAAGTCTAAAACCAGCAAAAGGAGAGAACCCACATCTAAACTGTTATGTTTAAAACCCATTTGTCAAACCCATATTTAAACTCATCTCTCTCAATCCGCAACCACAGCTTCCATTTTAGTTGCCCAACACCTTAGAAATAACAAAGAGGAGTGAAAGACTTCCAAGATCATAGTGACACTTCAACGAAGAAGTGGCCTGGTGAATAAAACAGAAACAAGAGGGGAAGTGCCAAGAATGTGAGGGTGAGGGTTCAAACAATAAGGGGCTTTGGAGAATTACTGGTGAGGGAAAATGATGAAGGCACGAACTCTGTTTTGGGTTTATAAAGGGGGAAAAAAATTATCAAGTTTGCCTCAACTACGTTGTTTTAAGCTAAACAATGTAGTTTGTGTGATTATCCATGTTGGTTAATGACAAAATCGATGTAGATAATTTAAATGAAGTTCAATTTAATTTAAAAAATGTCACTGTCTTTTTTCTACGCCGGTTTTGATACTTACCAAGGTTTTACTCAGTCAGTTCATGTGTGGAAACCAAATATGCCTGTTTTCAAAGTTTCTCTCAATAAATTTCGTGCATAGATTCATGTCTTTGGATTTCCCTTAGAATATATTATACTGAATCTACTATTCAAAGAACCCTCATAGAGGGTAATGATCACTTATCTCAATTAACCGTACGCAGCTCAATCTATTAATCTATATTTATAACCCACCGTCAAAGTCATTTAATTTGATTAATCAGGCTGAGACAGAATAATAATCCAAATGCAGTCAACTAATCATCTTCGGACTACAATTAGGATATTTTATTGTCCAGATGATATCCTCTTACTTAATGATATCCAGAACGTTAGATTCATATCAAATCAAATACAATTGATATGATCATAATATAATAAATCATAATAATAATTAATACTAATAATATTAATATTAATAATAATAAAATATCTAACATCTACTATTAGCTTGGTTGGGAATAAATTAGGATCCTTCATTCGTTATGATTGGAAAAGCTCTATCTATCAGAAGGGATTTCACTTTCAAGTTCCCATATTTGATTTATTATAGTGTCTTCAGTCTCTCAATTTTGTTTTGCAAAATGGAATCTTGATGTCTGTTTTGTCCTCATGTTTGTGGCTTTTGCTCTGTTTGTTGTTTTTCTTTTATTGTGACCATAGGTATCTTGGATTTTAATGTAATAATAATTTTATTTTAATATCAATTGGACTTATATTCAGGAAAAAAAAATGCTACAGCGTGAAAAGATGTAAATTGTGAATTTATCTTAAACTTCGTGTGAAGACACAGTATTCCCTCCAAATTTTATGTTAAAGACGGAGAAACAGGAAAATGCAGCAAAAAAGTATTGCTAAACCCTGATCCCAGATAAGCGTTTCAACGCCTTCTGCTTCCCACGATCACCACGGAAATAGACAAAGACTGTGAGTTCGGTGGCTCCGAAGGAGAGAACCTCCGCAGTCTGCGTTATAGAAAACTCGGTGTTAGATTTAAATACATTAAATAGAAGGCTCTGTTTTCCCTCAAAAAAAGGAGGAGGAAAGGAAAAGGTCCTGTTTTTAAAGATTATTTTTCTCTTTCAAGAATAAAACAACATCCGGTTTGAGTAAATTAAAACAAAGGGCAATTTGTAGGCCAAAGGTTTTAATCTGAAAAAAACCTTAGCTCTATTTTCTCACTCTCTCTTGTTTTTCGTTTTCATTTTTGGCCCCAATCCAAGAATTATTCGAGTATGAATGGCTGAACAAAACATAAATTATAATAACATCAAAAAAAGAATAGCTGGAGGAGGAGGCAGTGAGGTCCACATTAAGACTTGGATAGCCTTCACGATCAGGAGCCAGGTTGAGAGACATGGATATGCGTTTCACCATCAACAATGTCTGCTTCTGATCCCTTGCCATGTGAGCTTGCAAGTGAAGGCTATGGAACCTCAGGATTTTGTTCTCCAGCTCCATCAGCTTCTCCTTGTGACGATACAGTTTGGGAATGTCCCAGCTTCGTATTTTGGAGCACTTGGAAACAAGCTTCGTACCATCTTCTAGCAAGCTCCACAAGGCAAAAGTTTCTCTTCTGTAATCTGGTCCCTTCAATCGTCTATTTAGTTCTTCAATCTCTTCGATGACAGGACATAACAGATCGAGTGTTTCTTCAAGTTCCTCCAATTTGGGTTTGAACGTCACGACGTTGTTCTTCGTCCTCCATACTTCCTTTCGGAGTTGTTCAAACACAAGTCCCAAAACAGCTCCCCCAACCAGCTCCAACGCCATGCCTTCACCGATTCAACTGAAGCATCAGCCAATAAACTTTCTGACAAACTAAATTTCATACTCAGATCTGGATCCCGCCTTGCCTCTTGAGTCCAACCCAGTAAAAACACTTTTTCTTTCCGCGTCGACCCAAGAAATTTCGTACGAAGTATCTTGTGCTTTTCCATGCACCTTCAACCTTCATTCCTCTGCAGCTAAAAAAAATAAAATAATAGGTTAGGTGGCACAGATTGCTAGCCACAATTAATATCCTTAACTTCTAGTTAACCTAATATTTTTAAAAGTCATAATTCTAAATACCCTTATTAACGTGGGATGGCCAGCTCTACAATACATGAACAGTGCTTCCTTAAACGAGAATTGTCAATCAAATCAATTTCTTCTCACATCTTCTTTGTCGTGTTGTGCCATGTGATCAGCACTATAGATTTCTTGGGGCGTACTTCAGCGCTGGTTCAATTTTTTTTTTTTAATAAAAGGCTACCGTAAAACCGTGTAAGGACCGGAATCAGGTAAGATTAGAAGCTATAAGGCTTATACAATCAATTAACAGTATATCAAAAAGACAAATATCAAAATTATCCGGTGATGCCTTGTGTGCCATACAATCAACGCATCTATTAGTTTCTCTGAAAACGTGCTCAAAAGTTATCTCCCAATTATGCATGGTAATATCTCTTATGTTTCTGATGATGACCGAATAGGGGTGATTATGAGTATTGCTCTGGTTAATGAGAGATAAGGCCTCCATAGAATCAGAGTAAACGTTAACTTTAGGGATTTGAGCATTCCAACAAAGTTTGAGACCTTCCAAGATTCCTATTAACTCTGCAATAGTGCTAGGAAGATGGCCAATACTTTTAGAAAAACCCTTAATCCAGTTGCCTTTATCATCTCTAATAAGTCCACCACAAGCCGCAACTCCGTTGAGGTTGACAGAGCCATCGACATCTAGTCTAACCCATCCCGGCTTTGGCGGGATCCACTTAGTTGTATCACGAGAGCCATGATTGCTCAGAAGATTAACTTTGGATTGCAGATTCATGTCATGGATGATTTGTTGTGTACTAGTGAAAGCTATATCGCTATCCAAATTATTTTCCTCAGAGTAGGCCTTCTTGCATCTTGCTTTCCATACATTCCAGCAGGTTGCCTCCCCCATTTTACTTTGCTTGCCTATCAATATTTATTTTTTTATTGCATCTCCTTAATCATTAATAGAGTTGAAAAAACGGGTTGAATCTGTAAGTTAATTTGTTTAACCTGTAAATTTTGATGGTTTAGATTAAAAAAATTACCTCATTTTTTAAAATGGGCTGGGCTAGCCCAACACACAAAAATGACGGCTTAAAACAGGTTGGTCTGCTAGTTAGTCTATTTTTTTAAAAAAATAATTTATTTTTTCAATCACAATATATTTTTTTATAAATCTACAATAATGATTATATTTTTCAAATTTATAATTTATGAGTCCCAATTATGTTCTTTACATTTAAGAGATAACGTAAATTTTTCTTACAATTTACAAATAAAATTTTTATTATAGTTTGTAAATCAATTATTTATTAGTTTTTATAAAAATATTTTAAATATATATTATTTGTTAATCTCATAAGATCTATTGATTGAAATTATAAATATAAATTTGTTGACAAAAATAATATAGATTTATATTCAAACTTTATTTCAAAAAATAATATGAGAAAAATCATTACCTATATATATATATATATATGATATGTTGATTATAATTTTTCAATAATTTTAAAAAATAAAATTGCATTTTGTGAGTTGGCCCGCGGACGAGCTGGCCTGTCAATTTACAGCTTCGGTTGGGTTTTTCTAGCCCGTTTATCTTGGTGGGTTGACCTAACCCAATTCACTAATGTGCTAACCCACGCGGGTTAACCCGCAACTCATTTGCACAGCTCTAACCATTAGGTTAGGAACTCGCCCCATGAAGGTGCCTTCGTGCGTGCAATTGCCCTGCAATTCTCCTAGGTATGTTGTTGTCCGTATTGTGTAACGTCCTGAATTTTCAAATTGGAAATTATCAGTATTTACAAGAGTATTTTGGACAAATTAGATGAATTATAGATTGATGACATTTATGGGAAACTAATATAGTTGTTGGATCCTTGGACAACCTAAGAAGAAGGCTAGGTTGAAGTTTGAGCAGACTATGGCACGGAGGAAAGTTTAAATTGTGGTGGGGCTCACTGTGCCATGCATTGCAGCTAGCGTGTCAATGCACCGTAACACACGTATAAAAATTAGTATTTATCAATTTGCAAAAACAAACTAGAACTAAAGGGAAGAAAGAAGGGAAATTGACAAAGAGACGGAGGAGACCTAAGGGCGGTTAGGGCACAATCTCAAGGGCATCTTGGATGCATTTAGAGCTTGAATCTTCATTAGGTAAGTTTCATTTCCCCCTTTCCGTCCCTTTGATGCAAAAATTCTGACTTTAGGGCATTTAGGGGCTTATTTTCAGTTGTGGTTAAGTAATAGACAAATGAGTTGACTTATTTAAGGTCTTGAAAAGTTAAATCAACTCTTTAACTCTAAGTTTATGAGTTTTATGATGATTTGAAATTTTTGTTGAGGGTTTGGATGAACCCTAGGCATAGTTTGAGAATTTTTAGACAATGTAGATAATTGGATGGTAATTTTGATATGTCGGGATGTTTAATAGGATAATTAGAGTATTTGAAATGATTGATGTTGTTAAATAAGGAATTTAAGTATCATGGATACTTAAAACTTAGTGAATTCAGAGTTTATCTAGAGTAATAATTGACAATTGTCACATAATTATGTAGATTAAGGGTTTTCATGTGTTATTGTGCAAATGGGAACATGTGGAGTTAATGTTAAACGTCGGTAACCCTTTTGTGACAAAGGATTAAGGTAACGAAATACTTTACACTAATTGATTGTATTACTTAATTATTTATGAGTAGATAAATATATTTGTTTACATGTGTTTTAAAAACTTGGCATGTTGCGAAAGATGATTTTCCTTGTGCATTAAAAACTACTTTTAAAATAATAAAAAAATTTGAGTCCTTATGTGAAAAAGATCATCATTTTTCACAAGTGTGTGAAATGCATGAAAAATGTAAGCATGATCACGTTAAGGGATGGGAGTTCACCCGTAGGAAGGAATAGTAAAAGTTGATATAGTATGTAGTTCTTAGTGTTTAGTGAGGCACGATGTTAGAGACTTTTCCTTAGTGTCCATGCGGGATACAGCGTTGGAGAGTGACGCTCTATAGCATTAGTGGTGCGATGTTGAAATAATGACACCCCAATTTATGTGCGATAGGGGGAGACCATAGTCTGAAAGTAGGATAGGACACCTTTGGCCTGGTGATCCTACCACTGAAGGTAAACTTAGACCATTATGAATGTATACTTAATCCAAAAGCCTATAGTTTCAATCGGGCTGATATGGAGGCTCGAATGGTAGAATGATCATACTAGTGGTAAATGACTTATGTTTATGGAAGTATTTGTTGAATATGCTAGAGTAAAAATGAATATTGATTATGAAAAAGACTATCTTGAACTATGTTAAAAGTATGTTTTGGTGTATAAAAGCTTTACTCCTATATGATTGTGCATGTTAATTAATAGTAGTGAATTATTCTGTTATTGAGATGTTTATCTCACCCCGTGGCTATATTTTACAGGTGAGGGCTCCGATAGAGGTAAGGGAAAGGAAGGGGCAACCGAAGAGTAAAGAACTCAATTGTATAGCTCTACTCCTTGTCACTTTGGTTTGTAACGAATATGCCATAAATATTATGCCAACTTAGGAACATAACATTGTTTTGTTATCTTTGTATAAGTATATGTGAAATGGGTGTGTATCTTGACCTAAGATTGATGCTATTGTGATTGAAAGTGTGTTCGGCTAAGATACAATTACAAGTGATATAATTATGATGATTTATGTGTGAAAATGACTAAAACAATATTTATATTAAATTTTATCCACCCCTTTATATAGTTATAAATTAGGGTTTTGGTGATCATTTTGAGTATGATTGGTTATTTGTGTGATATGATTGGCCATGTGTGTTATATATGGTCCATTTGAGGTGGTCAAAGTGACTCCGGAGCTAATGGCATTTGGTAATGTATTTTGGACACCTTTGAAAGTATTTTAAGATGAAAACGAATCATTTTAAATTTAAGTATCTATCTTTTTAATGGATGATTATTTGAGTGTGAGACAGGTGCTATTAGCTAGAAGGCTCGAAGAGCTTTGTGTGGACACTTAAATTGCTCAAATCGGACGTCGGATGGCGAAATGGCACTCTCCAAAAGTTTAGAGTGTTGTCATCTGCTGTCACGATAGTACGTGTATGCCACAGTACATAGTAATTGTGCCATGGTGCAAATGCTCGCTGAGGGACTTGTCCCTCTGTGCCATCTGCTACGACGGGTATGGCCTACGCCACGAAGGATAGGCCAAATTCTGGAAAATTTTCAAATTGTATCAGCTTGTTTTTATGTGCTATTGATTTCCATGCCTTCGTTATTATATTGGATTGATTTTGAACTCAAACAATATTTTAAAAAGAGTTTTTCTTGGGATCCCATTATTTTAAACTAATTACTTTTAAACCCTTAGGTTGTGATAACTTTTACTTGGGATTTTATTTAATCCTGATCATCATAATGGTGTGTAAATGTATGTCCTGGTAATGTTAAGGTGGACATTACACATTGTCCAACACCATTTGTGACTTCTTTTGTAATATGTACCCTGACATTACCAAGATAACATTCTAACACACTATTGTGAAAATAAGGATTAAATAAAATCCCTAACACGAGTCATCATAATCCAAGGGTTTAAAAGTAAATAGTTTAAAAATATTAATCCTAGTAAAACCCTTTTGAAAAGCTATTTGAGCTCAAACCATAATTTAAAACAAATTATATATGATAATGAAAGCATGGAAATCAAAAGCAACTTTTAAAAACACAATTGGAACAATCTAAAAAATTTCAAAATTGGCACAGTCTGCTGTGACACAGGCCTTCCCACAACAGCAAATGGCACAAAGGGACTATGTCCCTCTTTGAGCATTGTGCCATGGCGCGATTATCATGCAACACGGCACAAGCCTGTTGTCATGACAGCACTTCGGACTAACTTTCGGAGCAT